GATGGAGAGATTGCAGATGAATATGCTCGGAATCCTAGGCATACTAACTGGACGTCCTGTAGGTCAGACCTTGATAGTAAGTTTGGAGGGGTCCCACATAGCCTTTGTAGGGGCTCTGATATAGAAGCAGCCATAAAGTCTCTGAGCAGGGACTTGACGGGTTCATATGAGGAAAACTGCCCGTTACGCAAAGTTCAAGGTAAGGGTAAGGCAACCTTCTGGTCCGACGAGTTAGAGGATAGGAAACGAGCTGTGCACAAACTTATTGGTAGCCCGGGTTTAGACGGTGTATTTCTGGCCATGTTACAGCATGGGCGAAATTCGGTTGTTCCTCGCCTGTTCAAGTTGTTTCGAGCATGTGTGGCCACGGGCTTCACACCTAGAAGCTGGCGGCAGGCTAAAGTGGTATTTATTTCTAAACTGGGTAGAGCTAGATAGTCTAGCCCGCAGGTTTTTAGTCCGACTACTTTTTCATCTTTTGTGCTTAAAAAGTTAGAAAGGATAGTTGAAAGATTATTGAGGGATGGCGCGCTGGAGAGGTGTGTAATTCATTCCAATTAGTTTGCATACCAAGCTGTGAAATCGACTGATCTGGCCTTATACAATCTGGTCGGCAGGCTGGAGAAGACTCTAGATCTACAATAAGTTGCACTCGTGGCCTTTTTGGATATTGGAGGTGCATTTGATTGCACTACAACAACAAGCATTGTAGCTAGAGGTCGTTTTTGTAGAACAGTGTCTGAGATTATGCAGGGCGCTTTGCGCACTGTGGAGTCGTGGTGTTCGGAAGTCGATCTTTCTGTCAACAATGGAAAGACCGAGCGGAGCCTATTTACTAGGCTCGACGGTCTTGTCTTGCCGACCTTCTTTGGGACTAATTAGTGAAATATTTAGGAATTATCCTGGACTGCAAACTGACCTGGGGAGAGCACGTTGAATTCAAGGTTAACAAGGCTCGCAATTCATTGTGGGCTTCTAGATGCGTTGTCGGTGTAAGGAGAGGGCTTAAACCCAAGGTGGTTCACTGGCACTACACGACGATAGTGCATCCATCTCTCTTGTACGGCTCCTAGATTTGATGGCCTTGCATTGGAACGCAGTCAACTAACGCCAAACTCAACACAATTCAGTGTTTGGCCTCTATCAGCATCACAAGCGCACTGCGGACAACGCCATTGAGTGCAATCACAGCAATGCTGGATCTCCCGCCGTTGGATCTAGTGATCCGCGGAGAAGCGAGAGTAGTCGGTCACCGACTATGGAGTCAGGGCAGCTGGGCCTTCTTGAATCCTGTCAAGGGTCACACTGCGATCCTAGTCGAACTGCAAAGGGAGGATCGGTCCTTCTGAGCCGGGGTGATCTAATTACCCCTAAATATCGCTTTGACCGCAAGTTTAATGTGGAGTATCCAAAGAGGGAGGAGTGGGACACCAGTTGCCGGTGGCTCTCCGGAGTGTGTTGGCAAGTCTGGTACACGGACCGCTCGGTCACCGAAGAGGGCTCTGGCGCCAGGGTCTCTGGGCCTAGAACGAGGCTATTTCTGCCTCTTGGTGGATACACCACTATTTTCCAGGTGGAAATCTTTGCGATTTTGGCTTGTGTATCCCTCATTTTGGAGGGGGTGGGCTTAGGAAAAGAATAACAATCTTCTCCGACAGCCAGGCTGCAATGAATCACTAAGTCCCTGTAAGATTACTTCGAGCCTTGTATTGCAATGTAGGGAGGCATCCGGTATCGTTAGTGTGGGTACCGGGGCACGCTGGGATAGAGGGCAATGAGTCGGCGGACGCTCTGGCGAAGGCAGGATCAGCCAGTAAGGTCGTTGGTCCTGAGCCAGCTTTAGGGGTGCCTGCGCAAAGAGTTAGGAGAAAAATGGAGAAGTGGATTGCAAGACAACGCGCTCAGAAATGGAGAAGCATCCCCAGACATCTCCGTCAAGCAAGGGAACTCATTGTATGGCCTAGCGCTAAAGATGGACGTTTCTGCTTATCTTTGGATAGAGCCAACCTAAGGGTGCTGGTGAGACTGTTAACTGGCTATAACACGTTAAGGCGCCATCTGCACGTGATGAAGGTGGCTGAGGATCCCTTATGTGAGCACTGCGGAGTAGAGGAAGAGACCTCGGCGCACGTTCTGTGGGCTGTGAGGCTCTTAGTTACTACAGGCAGTCTACACTGGGGTCCATCACTTTGGACTCCCAGGACGTTAAGGAGCTTGGACTCAAGGCCATTCTCAACTTCGCTAGAATGGCGAGGCTTGAGGTCTAAGAAATCCAGAGGTGCATAACGGCCCGTCTAAGAGGCCTATGCGTTGGATGCTTTTGGTGGCCGGTATGCCTCTAATTTCATGTTTCGTTCATTCATGCTTTTCTTTCAAACTGTCCAAACTGTCCAAACTCCCCCGCATGCGATGTTTATTGTACTTTTAGAATCACTGATCTTATATTTATATGCATGTGTTCTTATTCCCTCGCTTTAGCTATGTTCTCTCGATCTCGGTGTTTACTGATACTACTAATTTTACTTTTTGTATTTGCGAATGTGTAAATACTATTTACTCGTTAGATCAATGATATTTCTTTGTGATAAAATCACTGTACATCTATTAGGCTGTCCATCCTATGATGGTAAAATAATTGTTGTTCAAATTGAGATACGCATACCCTATAATTTTTTCAACTTCACTCTAACAACTTAAAAAATGAATATTATTTCGAAAGGGGAATGATAACCCGTGCCGACTTTCGGTCAAACTTTGAATTTGAAAGTTAATAAAGCACTGCTTTATTTGTATATTATATCTCTTAGATATCGAAGCAGTAAAAGAAGATAAAGGAAAATTTATTCGTCAGACTTCGATGGGATATAGCATTTACCGTAGGCTGATGGACTTTCTTTGGCTAAGTTAGCTACAATTTTTCCTTTAGTCTCCTCATCAACGTGGGCGTCAGATACCTCATCTGACAAATGCCGGAAATGTTGGTAGGGCTTTTGTAAAGCTGCTTTCGAAATGGTTATGTCATTTTTTTGGTATGCCTTCATTGCCTTTAAAAAGCATAAATCCTGGTTAGGTAATTTTATCGCTAAAGTGAATTGCAACCAAAGTTTCACGTATGTTGTCACGACGAACAGGCAGATATCAAACAGAGCTGTCTTATCCTTATTAGAAAGTTTGAGCTGGGAATTTAGTAACGCTATTTTTAATGAATAGATTGCTCTGGCCGTCCAACGACCATGATGCGTGGCGGCTGGCGGTCGAATATCAATTTTTTTTCTCTGTATCTCCGCCAAGGAATATTATTGAAATCTCTATTAATTCTCGATAGTCGTCTCTAGCAACTTTTTTCTTCAATTCTTGTCGATAAAATTTTAGCAGCTTGTCAGTCTCTGAAATATTCAGGCATGGTAGCTTTTCAGTATGCATCTGTATTTTCTCGGGATCCATACTTTTCTAGTTCTCGCGAAACCTTTTAAGCATTGGAATGTCATGACTTGTAGTTACTTGGTCGATCTTTGATTCAACACGTCTTTTAACACCAATTCGTAGTCGTGATGGCGGCAAGCCAAAATAAGTTTCTGCTCGAGAAGCACGTAGGTACCGTTAATGCGACCCGTATTTGAAGCAGTAGTAACACAACAGATAATCTGAACTTATTTTTAAGATTCCAGTCAATAATAGCATCCCAAACTGCCTGAGCCTGCTCGCTGCCTGAAGAGCTATCCAATTTCGGCACAGCGATCAGTTGCTCTTTATTTTCATACGTTAAAACAACCAGCAGCACTTTTTTCTTTAGATTTGCATGCATTTAAAGGTGGCAACAATTTGCCATCCCAGTGGACAGTCCCGATGTCGTTTTGGGAATCAAGCTTTGTAGCTTCTGCGCGCTCCTTTTGCTTTTCGGTACGAACTGCCACTAATTTTGGAGTTATGAAACTTTTCCTCATTTGAGTTTGATTTGTATTTGAAGATGAATTTTCATGTACTGGTTCGTAAGATGATGTCGAAGGAGTTAAGGAAGCAACATATTTAGTTCGCCGCCTTTGTTCTTCGGTGTTCCTAAGACGCGCCTTTTCTTCTTTTATGGCTAATTTCTTGTTCCACCCCAGCTAAATGACCAGGTCGACCTAGCTCTCTCTTCCGCTGCAAGAAGATCCTATCTTCATTCATTTTCATCAATTGAAGGGCATCGGCATGCGCAATATCGAACAGATTGTCCAAGTTCGTAGCAAACTCTTGTCGACTTTGCTCAAACACTCAAATAATGTTCTTTTAATGATAAGCATCTAAGAAATATAAGATACGAATAAAGCAGTGTTTTATTTGTCGAATAAGAATTAGGTTTTGAAATTTATACATGCTTTCAAATTCAAAGTTTGATCGATTTATTTTTACAGTTGTTAGAGTCAAATGGAAAAAATTAGAGGGTATGCGTTTGAGAAAAATTAACTTTCATTTTTTTGGCACACCCTAATGTAAATACTACTTACTCGTTAGATGAATATTTCTTCTTTGTGATGAAATCACTGTATATATGTACTATACACCTTATAAGCTTCTCACTATTTTCTATCGAATGCTTTTTAGAATATTCTGCTGTACACGATTTAACTGTTCAAATCTTATGCATCTTTTTGTAGTGTATTGTTTCATAACTATCTTTTATCGCTTCTATCGTCTGTATTTTATACTTATATTTTCTTTTCTCTCCATATTTGCTAGCACGCAGATATGACTTTTAGATGATGACGAGTCAGATATCATGTCAAATGCTCTACAAAGAAATGAAGTATATATCTATTTATCTATCGTATGGAAGAAATCCTCAAGCAAAAAAAATGTTTATAGCGACTTTCTTTTGTATTTAAGAAAAAGTTCAAATTTGCATCGAGTTTGCGCCCGAGAAGGGCTTGATTCATGTTAAGGGGTATTCATCAAACGTGATTATGGAAAAATAAGTCGGTAAACTACCATCACAAATGCGTTTTCGCTTCTATAAACTTTTAAATATATTCAAAATTTGACTGACCTTTTGTAGCAGTTGTCGCAGTAGTTGTAGATGAAGGTGCGGCTGCCAGAGCCAAGCAGGCCGAGGTTGTAGCGGATCCTCCAGAGTTGTATTTCTTGTATGCAGCACTGTTCATAGTCAACTTCCTGACATTCTTGTCAGGATGCAATACAATTATATACACTTTCGGAGAATACAGACAGACCAATGCAACTGTTGCATTCATACTTGTGGCGACGCATAACGTTGTTATCTGAGTCTGTAACAAATTTACTAAGTTACCTCATAGCATGTGAAATACTACACAGCATCGAAACTCGAAATGCAAGTCCGTTGATCCGCAACTTCAAAAATTATCGCTTCTTCACATAAGAGCGCTAAAATTCCGCAAAGGAATTTTACATCACACTTTTTTGTTTTTTCTCTATTTAACTATCATTTATAAAGAGTCCTCAAAAATGATATGAATGTTAGCTAAACATTTTCATAATATAAGGTGAGTTTTGTCTTACTGCAGATTTTATATATATATATATATATATATATATATACGTATATATATATCCTTGAATTTCTTTGGGTAGAAGGCAAAGTATTGCAAAAGTACACTCTTATAACTTAAACTCTCAAGCTTTCGAAGATCTATGTCTTCATCGTCTGGAGCTGGAAATAATTATTGACAACAGCAACAAATAACAATTACGAGAAAAATATTTACTTACTAAGTCGGCGAGCTTGTTGCTGTAATTGTTTTTAAACAACAGTGACGGGAATACATAGTCGACGAATAAAAAACTGGACTGATGAGGTTCAATTAGGACGGAATTATTTTAATATTAAATGGCAAATCATTTTGAAAGGTTTTGATTGATTTTGGAAGAAATTTGAAAATTTGAAAACTATCAACTATTGAAAATTCCTTCGAGATTTCATCTTTTTTTCACTTATAACCTCCATATTATCCAACACGTGCCGGCCGACTGACATTCTACAGTAGCGTATGAAGTGTGATATTGAAGTTATTGGAAGGTCATTCGTTATGTCGCAACTGTGACGTGTCACAGAGCTGAACTAGATTTTGTTGCTCTCAGCTCTCCCACTGCTATACCATGTTCACAGAATAATGATAACAGCAATCCCAACCTCTCCAGCAATAACGATGATAATCCTCCTAATAATACACATATTTCATCTATTCCCAGAATTAGTTTTGCAATACTGCCATACATTAAAGATCTAAAAAAAAAAAATCTAGAGTGTGCAACACTTTAAATTGCCGCACTGCTTACAAATCCTCACTCACAATCAACAATGTTTTCTCCTATGGCCTATCCAACATTGTCTATTCCATCAATTGCAATAACTGCAATCTCAGATACATAGGTCAAACTTCAAGATCCCTTAAAGTCAACTCCACAGGGCATCAAATGAGATACAATGATATCAAGGTGCTGGACATAGAAAATTATCTATCAAAACGCCTTGTTCTGGAAATGTCACATACATATTTTTTTTAATCTCGAAGCAGCCGCGCAGGCAGAAGCCGCGGTTGCTATGATGATCCCAAAGAAATTTTGTTAATACGATTTTTGAACTGCCTAAGCTTAATAGAACTGGGAAAAGCTTCCTCTTGTAGATTGTTCCACAATCTCGACACCCTCGGGACAAAGGAGCGGTCATATCGGCCAGTTCTGGATGTACGAAGTTCGACACGGTTAGGATGGGACGCCAAAGTCAGGCGGGTCTGCCTGGCAGGCACATCGCGCGGCGGCATCACGGAAGAGAGCTCTAAGGAACAAAGCCCGTTGGTGTAGCGGTAGAAAAGAGCTAGATCGCCGACGGCCTGCCAGTGCGAAAGGGTCCCGAGGCTGTCTGTTAGAGAAGAGTCATCGATCAGTCGGTCCGCCCTCCTCTGGACAACATTGAGCATGGACAATGTAGTCGGTGCGGCAGCACCCCAAACGTGTGAGCAATCCTCGAGGCTAGGCCTTATCTGGGCCTTGTATAGAGTGAGAAGGTCATGCGGAGAAAAGTACTTCTTAGCCCTAAACAAATAGCCTAGCTTTTTCCCAGCAGCTGCTGCTATTGACGAGATGTGTTCGTGCCAGATCAGGTCCTCGGGGATCTGGACCCCGACCAGCCGAAAGGAATGGCTCTTTGGCAGAACTCGGCCATCCATCGAAACCGGATGAGCGCTAGGACGCTTTTTGTTCGTCAAAGTACAGTACTGTGTTTTGGAAGCATTGAACTGTACAAGATTGTTGCGTTCCAAGCAGTGATAGCCTCTCCAGGTCTCTTGTTAGAGAAGAAGTCGTCGCTAGTCTTCTTCTTTCCAGTTCAGCGGCAGAGATCGGCTTCTCACTTTGAATTCCTGCATGTAGAGTGCTATCATCAGCGAAGCTGTGGATTGGGTTGATCGTGCAGGAAAGGAGGTCGTTGATATCTAAGATAAACAGTGTCGGAGCCAAGACCGATTCCTGGGGAACACCCGCGTTGACGTTGTGGGATGCAGAGGAGAACCCATCCATTACGACGGATATCTTGCGGCTAGAGATAAAGTCAGCCACCCATCTGCAAAGCTTTTCTGGAAAGCCATAGGATGGAAGTTTGCTTAAGAGGGCAGCGTGCCACAGCTGATTGAACGCTTTCGTGATGTCAAGAGCAACGACATGAGCCTCACCATGAGACTGGATGAGTTTACTCCACAATTGCGTGACGTAAGCTAGGAGGTCCCCTATGGATCGTTGGTGTCGGAAACCATACTGCCTGAAGCTAATCAAGCTGTGACTTTCGAGGTAGTCCAGAAGCTCGCGATTTATGCACCTCTCCATCACCTTACTTATAACAGAAAGCAGAACTATAGGCCTGTAGTTGTAAGGGTCGGTCTTAGATTCTTTTTTTGGGATGGGTTGGACATGAGAAAATTTCCGTTTTTGGGAAGGTGCCGGATTCATAAAATATCTGGAAAAGATGCGAAAGAACTGGAGCAAGCGCCGCTGCACACCTCTTCAGTACGATGGCAGGAGTCAAGTCCGGACCAGAAGCTTTGTTTATATCGAGCGACAAGAGTACTCGTCTTACGGTCTTATGCCTGAATGTTACCTCCCGCATACTGTATGGAACCCTTTGAACTGACGGCACTTGAGCGTTGGGGGGGGGGGGGACGTCCATGGTGGAGTTGGCGACAAAGATCTTGGCTAGCACTTCCGCCTTGGCCTTTGAGTGGAATAGAATAGTTCCATCCTGACATGTAGGTGGTGGAAGGCTACTGTGTGAGAGGTTCTTTTCAATCTGCTTGACCAGCGTCCAGAAAGACCGACTGCCATTGCGTTGTGACATTACCCTGTGCCTAACTTTTATATCTTGCTGGTGTTTGGCATTGTGAACCTCTTCATTATATTTGTTTCTGGACTCAACTGTAACCTGAGGAAACGAAGATGGAGAGGAGAAAAGAAGACTTCGAAAATTCGAGGTCTTCTAGCCATTTTATACTACAATGTGTTGGCTCTTGTTGCGGACTTCGTGTGTCTTTTTTCCATCTCCATCTTCGTTTCCTCAGGTTACACCCGTATCCGGATGTATGGGCATGTGTATCTACTTTTGTAGTTGCAGATGTGCATTCATTTCGGGCCTGATGAAGCCAACCAGCAAAAATACATATCGCTCGGGTTACCTATCCTATTTTCTGCTCGAATCCACTTTTTGCGGATTTTGCCCATTATTTTCCTATTTCTGTTATAACCCTTTCTCTGCATGATAATTTTCTCTTTGTAGATCCTTTGGGCTTAAAGTATCTCAGCAAGTGACTATAACCGGCCGCATGGTTGTGGTTATTTGTCGCCTTGAAAGTTCGAGGTCTTCTAGCCATTTTATACTACAATGTATAGGTTGGCTCTTGTTGTGGACTTCGTGTGTCTTTTTTTTCCTCTCCATCTTCGTTTCCTCAGGTTACACCCGTATCAGGATGTATGGGCATGTGCATCTACTTTTGTAGTTGCGTATGTGCATTCATTTCGGGCCTGATGAAGCCAACCAGCAGAAATACGAATCGCTCGGGTTACTTATCCTATTCTCTGCTCGAATCCACTTTTGCGGATTTTGCCCATTATTTTCCTATTTTTGTAATATATATATATATATATATATATATATATATGTATATATATATGTATATATATATATATATGTATATATATATATATATGTATATATATATATATATATATGTATATAGGTGAAAAATTAAAGCTTCCGCCTTTTGTTGGGTACTTCGACAAGAATTAAGCAAAGAGGACTCTTTATACTTTTTTTAATTCTCTCTAGCTTTCAATGGACTTTGCCATCATCATCAGGAGCTGCAATTACAATGATAACAGTAGCAACAAAGGTGTAAAATGAATTTGAATTGACTCAACTTACAGTAGTATGTGAGGATGTTGCTAATTGTTGATTACGTATAGGATGAGGGAAACGTCCAGTAACATGGTGAGAGCTGAATAGGTTGCACAATAGTCAAAATTTATACAAAACATGACAAGAACAAGTTAAAAACAGATTAAAAATTATTTAAAAAATTAGAGTATTACATCGTGAAACCACCTGATGATTGCACAAATTAGTGGTCATGGAATGATGAATTGATGAGTGACATGAAACCCTTTGACAGAAGGCCGAAGGATGTCAATGTCAGTATTGAAAGATGGAACGAATTGTGGGCGTGTGCCAAAACGTTGACAAATCACTTCAGATGGTGAGATTTTCAGAATTTTATGTTAGAATTTGTTAAACCGACCAGAGGCAGTTGAATAAACTATATTATTATTAATGGGAATTTAAATTAACAATTATTAATAAATCGTGAGGAGAGAATTATTATATTTTGAGTGGAATGAATTTTACTGGTGGAAACGGCCAAAACACAGATTCTAATTATGGTTGTGAAGAGTTGAAATTTGGGGAGATATGTAAGTTCTCCAATTTTTCGCAGTTTAGCAAATATGAGTAAATGACACTCAGTTGTTTAACATCTGTCTTTTTGTTGATACAGTTGTTATTCATGAAAATGTGGGACATTTCCAGGAATAAACGTTTGGAAAGGTGTTTTTCTTTATCAAGAACTTTGATACTTGTGTAATTCATAGAATGCCCTGTTGTGTTAACATGAGATGCTAGAGCGCATCTTTCAGGATGAAGCCTAGCATCACTTTTGTGTGATGTAATCCTTCCTTTAAGAGATCTGGAGGTCTGACCTATGTATATTTGGTTGCAGTTGTTGCAATTGATGGAGTAGACTGTGTTGGTTAAGCCAAGCAGCGGGACTTTGTCTTTCATTTTTGAAAAAATGCAGTTTATATAATTCTTGTCGAAGTACCCAACAAAAGGCGGAAGCTTTAATTTTTCACCTAACTGGTCTAGACGACAATGACCACGTCTCAAGATATATGTATATATATAGGCCGAAAGTCATTTTCTAGTGATTTGATTTTTCCTAAACTATAGGAAACATTTCCAAAATCAACATACATGGTGCTTGAGAACTGAAAGCTAATTTGGCCATCTCAAACACGCTGTTACTCGTTTCTAGCTTACGTCAACAGAAGAGAAAGGTTTTATAATCGGGAAAAAAATCGTCAACTGATAAGGAAGCACTGCGCTGCGTTCGTAATTGTTTGACAGACCTGTTACATGCGTTCGGAAATAGAACAAAGTGATGCTTCTGGAACGAAGGGTGTGCTTTTCTCCCGAGCTCAAAACCTTGGGAATAAGAGTTGTCACTTGTCATTCTCATGGTTTAGTGTTTGTTTATTTTATTCGGTTATCAGAAAACTGGCCAAAATTGACAGAATATATATTTTTCATGATAACTGCTACCTTGTATCTCTAGGGTATCTTAAAACAACTACAACGGTCGCATAAAACGTGGTTAGAAATTAGTGGGCTGCCATCAAGTATCATTAGATGGCTCTGTAATAATTTAGGCGTTCTAATAATAGTATTCCAGAGTAAAATTTCATTACTGTGAACTGTATTACATTGCCAAGTGATCAACAAATGCACCCCTTTTTTTATACTCCAACTACCACGAAGGCCTAAGGCCTAAATACCCATTGGGTACCGTGGGGCTATAAGGGGATACAGGGGAAAGGGGGAACGCCACACGGACTCTGGCGATGGAACACGTGCACACATTCTGGCTCCGCCTACGAGATCCGCCGGGTGGTACCTCCGCGTTCGACAGTCAGAAACCGTCTACCACCTACGGACAATCACAATATCCATAGCCAAGAGAAAAATTTCTCCTGGGACGGGACTCGAATCCGCACAGCGACTGATCAGGAGACCGAAGAGTCTACTACTGCGGCCACCGCTGCTGCCCTCTAAGAATAGCCATGTCAGCATACCTACGGATGCGCGATGAGGGCATGTGAGCGATATGAGAACCGGTGGTTGGTTATTCCAAGACCGTGTAAGTAACGGAGAGCAATCTCCTCATACGAAGGCGGTCCGATAAGTACTTAGTCTACAAAATAAAAACGAAAATTTTGAATTTATTTCTCAACATAGACCCGTTTTATCTCGATACACTTGAACCAGCAATGCTCCAACTTCTTTAACCCGTCTGAAAATTACGCTTTGTGGAGGTCTGCAGAGTAGGCCTCCGTGCGGGCGATGATCTCTACATTCGACTCAAATTTCTGCCCGACAAGCGATTTTTTCAAGTTTGGAAACGAAAAGAAGTCGCCCGGGGCCAAATCTGCAGATTATGATGAATGGGGCAGCAGTTCGTAGCCCGATTGGGCCGTGGCGACGGCGGAGGTGTGAGCCGGTGCGTTGTCATGGTGGAAGAGCACTTTTTTCTTCGCCAAACGGGGTCGTTTTTTTCTGCAATTTGCCGTGAAATCGGCCCAATAATTCGGGATTGTAGAGCCTTGTGACCGCTTTGCCTTCATCAGGCAATCGATGACAAAATGGTGGCCACTACCTTTCCGGTCGATAGGACAGTCTTCGCCTTCTTCAGAGCACGTTCGCCAGGAGAAGTCCACTGTTTGGACTGTTACTTGGTCTCCGGTATGTACCACTGGATCCATGTTTGGTCGAGGTTCTGGAAATGACGCTGAAACTCCTTCGGATTGCGCTTAAGCAGCGTCAAACACAGCTCTGAAGTAGTCTCACGGTTTCGCATGTTGTCCGGAATGAGCGAACGCGGCACCCATCGCGCATACTGCTCTCTTATGACCAATATTTCATGCAGGATATGATCCTCATGGTCCTTTGAGATGCCTACTGTCGCAACTATCTCGCGCACCTTCAGTCGGCGGTCTGCCATTACGAGATCGTGGATTTTTGTCACGTTATCCTCCGTGGTAGCCGTTTTCGGGGCACCTGGGCGTGACTCATCGAAAACCGACGTGAGACCACGTTGAAACTCGTTAAACCAATTTTTGAAAACAAAAATCGAATCACCGACCGATATTTACCAGTAGCTACTACACGATAGTGACGCCATCGGGCGGTGAGGCTAATTACATATCGGACCGCCCTCGTATCTTCGCTACAAGTGTTCCTTGCTTTTCATCCAAGACTTTTAACTTACCTCATAAGCGTTTCCAGTTCCAAAGTAGATAGGGATGAACGCAAGCCATATGATGCAAGTGGTGTACATTGTAAACCCAATAAATTTCGATTCGTTGAAATTTTCTGGAATCTTTCTCGTCTTGACAGCATAAACGGTGCAAGTAGTGATAAGAACCATGTTGTACAGTTGACTGAAGAGAAAGGACATATCTTGGATTTTGCATTTCAAAATCACCTGAAACAAACAGAACGTGAGGAATATGTAAGATATGTTGCCGAAATGGCCGTTCGGGTTTTTACAAAAAAATTATTTTACTTTACAAAACTAACTTGAAATATTTTACAATACATAAAATGTACAATACGACGAACAAACGAGGAATCTCTGGAAAAGCATCTCGGGCTCGGATGCTTTCCTCAGCATTTTCTTCTTCCACGTGCATTCTTGTCTGTATCGTAACTCCTCCCCATCTGAATAGTCTGAAAACTGAATAGGAACGTTTTCTGTTTTCGGGGGTTTTTCTTAGTTTTGCATCTTTCTTGGGCCTTACTTCACTGGATTTGCGATTTTCTTCATCTTTCGTGTCTTGGGATAGATCGTTTTTCTTCTTGATTTGTTTTCTCCAAATATACCAACAGGTTACTGCTACCGTAACAAGCAGAAACATAGTAAAAACTGAGTTGCTAGAAAACCAAATTAGGGGATCAATAGCGGCTACTTGCATTTGAAGAAAATTTGCTTTTTCTGGCAACTCAATAATCTTGCCGAGGTCAATAGTCTTGAGGATCAAAGCTTTCTTGGACACAAAGTTCGATCGTGCATTCCAAAATTTTATTTCTGGAAGGACTTGACTTGATCTTCCTTGTTCCAAAACTTGGACAATTTTCGGGTATTTCGACTAAACTTGGCGTTTCTAAAATAAGTGGTGGTTGAGTACCACACAACTTGACTGCTGTGATTGGCTGTTCAGCGGGAATGACCAAAATGTGTTTTGCTGATATCTCTTCAACAATAGGACTGGATCTTGTGAATTGGCATTTTGAAAATTCTGCTTTCTTCAGTAACTTGTTTAGACAACCTTGGATGGGTTCTTGTCGATTCTTGCAGAAGTAGACGTTTTCAAATTCTGGACATTCTTCTTCTTCAAATTGCTGATGACTTGTTCCAAGAGCCAAAAAGGGATGGGTTGGAATAATGGTTGAATTTCTAATAGGAACTGGGTATAGACGGAAAAATTTGAAATTTTTCATCAGATAATATAGGAAATCTTATAGAAAACAAGATTTTATTATCAGTAAATGTAATTGGTGGATCAGCTACTAAATAGTATGACTGTAAATTTTGAAAGTTTGGTACTTTCTTTTTACCATATAATTTTACTGAATACTTCATGTCTTTCTTCAAGTTTGTAACTGATACGATAGAACTATGTGTTCAATTTTGAAAACATTATAGCGTCCTCCAAATTATCTAAAAATGTAATCAAATTTTGACAATTTAGATTAAATTGCTGCAAAATATTTTCAGCGTGAAGATAATCCGTCAAGCTTCCTACAGTTGCATTCATCACATTTTGCAGATGATACAATTTCGCTTTGATCTGTACCTGATTAGAACTTAATAATGAAATTGTAGAATTGTAATTATCTATCAATTCTTTAGTGAGTTAGGTCTGCAGTTTCAGTTGACTATGTACAGAATTTGCCTTTTTTTGTAAATCATGAAGTGCATTATTAATTTTGATTTCGTCATCTGAGTCCATTGTACCAAAAAGAAACTTTGAAGTTTTTCCTAAGAGATTAATCAATCCTCGTTTCTGACGAATACGTGGAACAATGTTATCTAATTTTTTCGTAGCTTCTTGTATTAGAAATTCTGTATGCTTAAGGAGATTTAATAATCCAAAGTGCAAGTCTGAATGATCAGCATTTAGAGGCTTGAGAGTATTTCGTAGTAATTTTGGATATTCGTAATCTTGTTAATGAAGTAGTTTCTACAAAGTGAATAAAAGTATGATACGATTCTATAATACTAGCATTATCTAGCGAATAAGGGAAAAGCGGGGCTTTTAAGGGTGTGACAATTGCGTCATTGTTGGCTTTGATTGTTGTGACTTGTAGAAGGGATAGAATGACTATCGGAATCTTCTTGATTTCCAGATTCATGATCCTGCGGAAAAGAAGAATAAGCTGTAGGTTTTTGAATTTGAGATTTGTGTACTAAACATTTGCGTTTATTTGTAGTCCGCACTTTGGTACCTAAATCTTTCTTAACTTCAGTTTTTGTGAATCGTGGTTTTAATTTACTCCAAGAAGCGGTTTTATCTTTGACATATGCTTTTGAACCTTGGGGAAATTTGGATGGGTCCTCTCTAGTTTCATTACGCTTTTCTATAATATTCTTTTTATGAGCGTCTGTTACTTGGTGTATACTGTTGTAAATAAATTTTAGTCTTTCACGTCTATCATCAATAAATTGGCTGACAATGATCTCATCTGATAGGTCAAATGGATCCAGGACATCTAAGCGGCCATTTATAAGGTCGAATGGTCGTTGTTTTGTAACACTGTGAATTGACGTGTTATATGCCAGAATTGCATTTTGCATTAGTTCTTTTGGACATAATTTTGGAAATTTGATTTTTAGAATTCTTAGGAGTTCTAGGAGAGTTGAATGTAATCGTTCTATGGGACTGTTGCTGTTCGAATTACATGGTGTAGTAAAGTGAAGCTGGGTTTTGTGTAATTTACAAAATTCTGTAAATAAGAAATTATTGAATTCCCTTCCATTATCAGTAGTAATTGACTGAGGAATGCCGTGATGGTTCACAAATATCAAAATATTTTCATACACTGTGGTGGCTGTACAAACTGGATCTAAATGATACGCTTGTGCATATTTGGAAAATGAATCAATAACAGTAAGAAATTTTCTGTTAGAAAATTGAAAAGTGTCCATATGTAAGACTTCTAGGGGTTGCTTTGGCGTTGGTGTGAGTGAAAATTTTATTTTTGGTGGATGTCTCTCATACTTTGCTACTCGGCATAACTCACAATTATTTATGTATTCTGTTACCATTTTTTGCATATTCTTCCAGTAGTATAGTTTTTTAAGGGAAAGTAACGTTTCGTTAATTCCTCTGTGACAAGTCTTTGTTTCATGATGATGAGAAATTAATTCTTTTTGTCTCTCTTTGTCTGAAACATCTCTAACAAGCTGATTGGAAAGATAAAGTTTATATGCGTGGTTTTTGAAATACAAAGGTAGTATTTTGCTAATCTGGATATCTAAATCTTTAATTTCTGAACATTTGATAAAAATGCAATATACTTTGTTTGGATCAACATAGTCTTTGACAAACTGTATGATTTCTTCCTCTATGTTATCGCTAAGCTGTAACTGTATTTTATTGACATTTTCGAAGGGCTTAGTTCTTACAATGTGATATCGATGAGATGATTTCTGTTCAATAATTAACTGATTAGAAAATTTGTTAGTAACATATTCAGTGAAAGGTATCTCTAATATGGGGTTTTCTACTGCTGTATGGACTGTAATACTGTCATCACTTGGCTGAGGGGGTACAATTTGGATATCCGAAATTATTTTTATCTTGTTAGGGTTTTCAGGAACTTCAGGGGTGAGAAATTCCTCTACTTCTTGTAAGTCTTCAATATTTATTTCGGGGTTATCATCGTCTTGTAGAAAATGAAGAATATCTTCATCAGAATCTCCAGGATCTGCAATTATTGACTGATCCGTTTCATCTTGAATGGCGTTAAGTTCTACGCGAGATAAAGCACCGACATTGCTATTTGCTTTTCCAGGTTTATAGTGAATTCTTTAGTTGTTGCTTGTATCTTCTTGGGATTCGGTTTTACACCATCACAAGTAACTACATGTCCTAAATATTCATCTTCTTTGCATAAAAATTCACATTTGTCTGGTTGAACTTTCAATTGTGTGTCCCTTAATCTCCGAAATACTAATTTCGAATTTGCAATATGTTCTTCAAGACTAGTGGAAAAAATTATAATATCATCCATATATACTAGACAAAGTTTGCCTTGTAGTCCGTGTAAAATATTGTCAACTACTCTCTGAAATGTACTTGGGGCATTTTTCAAACCGTATGGTAAGCGGGTATACTCGTAATGTCCATGTTCTACACTAAAAGCGTTTTTTTCGATAGAATTTGGATGCATCTCTATTTGGTGAAATCCGGAAGCTAAATCTACTGAAGTATTGACATCTACCTAACTTGTCCAATATATCGTTAATATTAGGTAATGGATATCGATCACTTATTGTTTTTTCGTTAAGCTGTCGAAAATCTGTCACTATTCTCCATTTTTGTTTCCCACTAGCATCCATCTTCTTACTAACGATCCAGATAGCTCAGCTATAAGGACTTTGACTAGGATGTATAATTCCATCATCTAACATTTTATTTATCTGTCTTTGAACTTCCTCTTTGTGAACAAAAGGATAACGATAATTTTTTGTATGTACTGGAATTTCATCAGTAGTTTTATTTCATGTTTAATGATATTAGTGAACGTTAACTTTTCATTTTCATTGTAAAATATATCCCTAAACTCATGGCAACTTTTAATAAAGTCTGTTTTTCCTCACTGTTCAAATGATCAGTCCTAATTAATTTCGATACTTCCTGTATGCTTTCGAAGCTATGTTTTAGTTCACCAATAATATATTCAATATGAAAAATATAAAAGTTATCACTAACTTCTTTACAATATTCGATTACGTCTAACGGATTAGAAAAATCTATTGTTATTTGTTGATCTGAATAGTTATAAACTTCTGTATAAGCAAACCATTCATTCGAATTAGTCAAGGTCTCAGGGAAATATAAGCCATTTATTTCACCTTCAGGGATTATAACGGGGCTATTATTAATGCTCACAGGAACATTGATAAGAGCTACCTCGTGTGCATTTATCGCTATGCTATATGGTTCAGTGTCAGTGAAAAATATGGGAATACGCAATGACTCACTAATTAAAAGTTGATTAGTAAGGTCTATGTTGAGATTTAAACGTAATAGTTGTTTTAATATGCCGTCAAAAAATGGATGGAAATCAAATAAAATGAAAGTGATGAAATCGTCTGATTGAAATTCTGGGAATGATGGCAGATCGGCTTTAAATTGAACTTCTTTTTCTCCTTTCTAGGGCGTATCATCGAATGTGAACATCCTGTGTCAATGAGTAATTT